CCACAGCAAAATTCTCATATTAATAATAATGTATACCAAAACATCCATTCATGATCTTAAAAGCTACACACGCATTTTATTAGATTTAAATGTGACAATAACCTCGCAAACTAGGTAGGGTTATTATTCTGATTTAACTGGTGAAAAACTTGGGCTAAATGCAGTGGTTCTCAACCAGGGGCACCTGGGAGTATATTGGAGGGTTTGGGTTACCACATTGGCAGGGAGGCAACATGGGCATTTAGCAGGTGGGAGACAGGGATATTAAATATTCTGCAATGCGCTAGACAAACCCACAGAATTAGCCTCCCCCAAATGCTACCACTTTGAGAAACACTGACAGAAAATAAATGGACAATGCCTAACAGCTAATAAAGACTTTAAATATAAATTCAATAACAAAATTGTGGAAATCACCAAGGACCAGACAAAAAAACATGGAAAACTGAAAGTATATCAATTTCTCACACTAAAATAAGTAGTTCAGGCTACACTCTCAAAATGGTAAAATGATAAAAGATAACACAATTTCTTTTTTTTTTTTTTTTTTTTTTTTTTTGAGATGGAGTTTCGCTCTTGTTACCCAGGCTGGAGTGCAATGGTGCGATCTCGGCTCACCACAACCTCCGCCTCCCGGGTTCAGGCAATTCTCCTGCCCCAGCCTCCTGAGTCGCTGGGATTACAGGCACACGCCACCATGCCCAGCTAATTTTTTGTATTTTTAATAGAGACGGGGTTTCACCATGTTGACCAGGATGGTCTCGATCTCTTGACCTCGGATAACACAATTTCAAACTCAACATTTCTCTGCCACTTGTTTGCCAAGTTTTCCACTTCACTTGTAATTGCCTCATTGTTTTACTTGCAAAACCTTATCATCCTTAGTTACTCCCTAAGATTTTACACAAACAAGTCAAGCCCTTCTCCAATGTCCATTCTGCCATCCCTGTTTTGGATCCACTTTACTACCTATCTGTGAGGTTCGCTTGGTCCATCCTTTTCATCTAAGACACCACTACCCCATTCATCATGCTAAAAATCACTCTGTTTTCCTGTCAGCATGTCAGCATCTCCTATTACACAACTATGATTCTTAACGGAACATCATGCAGATATTTAGGTTAACATTCAAGACCCTCAACCATCTCCTTATTTCTCCTGCTAACTCAATTATTCCAACCAGCCCCTTTTGCACTCCTCCAAACTGGCATGATAATACTCTTTTCATACTTTTACCCATACTGTTTTCCTTACCTAGAATAATTTTCCCACTCCTTCCTCCCTGTCATTCTGAATCCTTATCTACTAATGTGTAGAAATGTTCATCAAATGCAACAAATTTACATGTAACTTGACTTTGCGTAATGTCAGTAGAGCCCTAAATAATTCTCTAACTTCAACTCCTTATTTAGTTCCAGTCTTTTGGTTAGGACTGGAAACTTTTTAAAAGAAAGGACTACATTTTCATTTCTTTTGTATTACTCCCCTAGAAAAATATATAGCTACTTGAAATCACAAAGTTGTTCCTTGAAGAAATCATTTAATACTGCACCTGCATTTCTATAGTTAAAAAAAAAAACTAATTCAAGGACATGTAATTATTTAGTGGAAAGAGAAAAATCAGAATTCAGGTCACAATTTATCATCTAATGTTGTCTGATACTCAGGTGCTTGTTAACTCTAAGGTAAAAAATCATTTTGTAAGCCTGTCTCCAGCAACATTACTCTGCAATAAAAAAGACAATATCATAATAGAAATGGTCTATTTCACTGTATTTTCCACCAGTCAAGAAGACAATGAATCAGGTTCTTTGAGAATAATTTGACAACTCTTTTTAAACAACCTCAAATTTTTATACAAGTCCCATAAACTTGAAATTCCATTTTTCTGCTCAATCCTTGAAATACTCATATATAAAATGACCTCATTGTGTTTCAAAAAAATATATTTGAAGAATAAGATCAGGATAACCCATAATTATATTACAGTATAAACAATTTGAAATTTTGGTAGTAAATCAGAAGTCTAGATAAAGACAACAATAGCATTATTAAAAATACCTTCATTCCTCAATCTCATATTCTCCAGAAGCCAAGACACTTTAGCATTCAGCATATTTATATCATCCATCATTTGCTATACATTAATGTATAAATACATTAAATTTATTTTGCATTATTTATTAATTATTATTAAAGGATTCAGATTTTCACTAATCCTTGTCTTCAAATATTAGCTATTAGATATAACTTTCTTGTCTGGTTTTTCTGTTTCAATCCAGGATAGATAAATCAACTTAGGTTAGTACTCTAACATTTAGGAAGATATTCTATCAGTCAAATTACATTTGGAATTGTAATAGCCTAATATTACTTCTGAAAATATCTCCTACTTTTAATACTGCAAGGAAAATACTTTATCTAGAAGTCTATTTTCTGCTCTAATGACACCTTTTAGGACAACTGCGTTACAGGTTACAAGAGTCTAATAAAAGAAGAGAATAAAGGATCAAAATAAACCAATTGCAATACGAAAATATGCAAAAGATCACAGTCAATATATACACATTTATAATAAATTTGCCTGTTAAACCAATGTGGAGATTTGAAATTTAGGTGTCTAGTTTCAAAAATAACAAAGAAGGAGACACTAACATATATCTTAAAGCACATATGTAAAAAATGAGATAAAAATATAAAAAGGGCTTAGTCATTTTCTATAAATCAGAACCATAATAAATAAAGATCAAAAGCTCATCTGCTACTGAAACCTAACAGAAGGAATGACTAGGTGGTATTACTGGCAAGCAAGCCAATTTATCACTCTGGAATGTGCATAGAAATCTCATAAAAAGGCAAAGTAGAAAGTAATTTGGTAAACAGTTTCCCAGACTTCATTCTTAGTAAGAAGGCTCTAAAACAACTAAATTAGAGTATAATTGCAAACCATACTTACAGGTTCACTTTTATTCAGATAATATTTAACTATAAAAAGCACATACACCAAAAGTCATATACAAGTGATAATTTTGGCCACCCGATCCTTGCTTTTAATTGGCAATTAGCACTAGGCCTAGCGCTTTACACCTTTTGTGCCAACTTGCTAATTACTCAAATGTATTAGGGTAAAGGTGTTGTCTAAGAATCTGATTTTATAAAATCAGCCTTGCTGGTGGTACTCACTTATAATTATACTAAATTATAAAAGGGCTAGATTGGCTGTTAAAAAGAAAAAAGGTTATTTACCAAAAGAATGTCGAGACCACACTGGGAAAACAGTACAACCAAAACTCATTTTAAAGAAAAGCAAAATAATGGAAAAATGGCTGATTTAATTCAACTTTACTTTCCTTCTTCTAGTCCATTTATCAAATTCTTGTGTTGGGATAAAAAAAATCTGCTTTCAGTTCCAAAGAATGCATCTAGATCCAACGCTGTACTAGCCTCATCACTACAGAGTTTTGCTGAACACTCAGTACCCACACAGACAAAATAAATTAATTCCCATCTTCACACAACCCTAAACTAGATGGTCTTGATCACTGGATTCAAGAATAAAAATATCTAAACAATTGAAGCCAAAAAAATAATCTGGTCATAACTATCTAGATATTTGGGCAAGAGCATTTCAGACATACTGACTCAGAAATTAACAGATTCAGATCTAGTCTGGTCAGATTTTGCCATTTATATAGTTAGGACTGCATAGAATTTACTATGTATAGCAGACTTCACTTAGTAACACAGTTCAATAGTCCATCTGAAAACTTTTATTAGCATTTTTAAGATAGCACGCTAAATGACTAATAAAACTTGAGGCATATCTTTATACCACATAGTACTTCTTTGAAATAGTGACTTTAAGATAGAAGTAAAATGCCTGGCACACGTTTAACTCAAATGCAAGTTCCCTCACTCCTTCTCAGGAGCCAGAAAAATTTAAAATGTGAAGGGGAAATCTCCTCCCCTATCCCACATTTCTTTTTTTTTTTTTTTTTTTTCTGACAATAGTAATGTCTATTGAGATCATCTAGTGATTTTTTTTTTCTATTTATCACCAACACATTACTCACTAATATGTAGGAGGTAGACATCCTACAGATGGCTGGATACAAAATCTTATGCTTAAGTTTAAAAATAACAACATATTTAGGTTAAGTATGCTTAAAAGTCACACTAAAAGAAAACACATTTCAATATAAAAATAGAAAGTGAGTAGTCTGTATTGTTCTAAAAAAATTATCTTGAAAAAAATCTTTTGAAGTATCTGAAAAAAATGCCTGATAAAACTAGTATAGTTCATATATAACCAGGAAGAGTCACTATTTCCGCACTAGTAGTTTCATGTATAGTAACCTAACAGTTTTTACAAGTACATAACAAATGCAGACCATAAAAGAGAAAAAATATATCGAGAATAAATTTATCCCTATGCACTTTTCAAGAAAAAGCTCTACAAAGTGCTAGAAATATTAACCCTTTACAACTATTTATAGAAAATTCATTTGCTGCATTTATCTTCTGCTAATGGTTTTTCTACATGGCCATGCCAAAAACAACCAAATTCAGATTCAAATATAACCTCTAATTCATTAGAATAATAGGTCATAAGTTCAATGTCTACTATGCATAATATTTTAAAAAGTCATTGTCTTTAAACCTCAACCTTAACATTCATGAGACCAATAGTATAAGCAGATATATTTTCCCTTAGAAACTTCTATCTCCTTACAAAGAAAATTATAATAAAACTTTAGACCTCTATTTGGATATATGTTTTGCTACTATAAACTAAGAGCTAAGAAACATCACCGCAGCATATAAGCTGAATTATAATCAAGGAAAAAGCCAACACATGATTTCTCATAGTATACATCTGATCACACCATTTCTTTAAAATTAAACAGGAAAATAAAAATTTTCTTTGGAACTAATCAGCAACACACAAGGACTTAGGAGAACAAAGTAGAAGTTAAAAAATAAAATTAAAGAAAGGATACAGCCTTAAAGCACCAGTCTGAGTTCCCACTGCCAGGATCTTCTGTACAGGATCAAAGGCCAGGGCTGAGGGTTGATAGGGAAATCCATGGCGAACAGTCTAGGGATGGGCAAGTGACATCACAGCAACAAAGGCAGCAAGCGAAATTTAAAAATAGAAAAGTCAACAGAGGCGTTAGGATTTAGAACCAACTACCACTGATGCAAAACAAATACACATGCACTTACTGCTTCTAAAGAAATAAGTGAAACCTACATTAACAAAGTTATTCACATAGAACCTGAAACTAACAAAAATCTAGTCCAGCGATAGGTTTTAATTTCTACTTTTCCATAATACTGGTATTCCATTGAAGAAAATCTTTTATTAATATTCTACACTATTACATCCGACACCGAATGACTGAAGTTTGCAATAGTCCAAAATTCTGTAAACCCATCAAATGCAATTCATGCTTTATTTTGGCAGTATTCGTTTCATCATTACTTTATTTGGATGCTAACGCGAGTAATTCTAAGGAAAAACTGTCATATAATTACTTTATCCAAGCATTCAGTAAAACAATAATCAAACCTCTATCCCAATATTTTACACTTGTAACAGAACGAAGATGAGTACAACATATATTTTTGAAATTTACTATTAAGGCCATAATTATTTTAGGGCATTAGACCAAAATATATATTTATGTACCCACTTTCTAAAAACTCTGATATACAAAGACATGGCTATTTATGAAAAAGGCAGGTATTAGTGCCGAGACAAGTTTGTGTTTCTCATTAAGCAGCTGCTGAATTAATTCGCTGCATCATTCTTTCTGAATTACAGAACGCTATGGCAATTATCGTGCCATTAACAGGCAAAAATCTCAGTACTAACGTTTTAACAAACATAATGATAAAAAAAAAAAACAAAAACTGCGATTTCTTATCGCAAGCCACTCACACCACATTTTAAGGGAAAAGTGAGCAAAGGTTTGGTAGAACAGGTTTGGCTTTTTGATAAACAACATTCATTAGACACCGTTTCCAAAGGAAACTTCGAAGTTGGTGAATTATATTAAAACGCTTGAATATAAAAGCTTCCAGGTTAGTACTGGCAGTGTTAGAATTAATGGTCAGATAATAGTTTGAAGCAATCTTAAACTGAGTGCTGCATGTGCAAAGGGGAGAGAGCAAAAACAACGAAGAGGAGTAACGTATCAATTTCCAAAACAACCCATCGAAGAAACCTTTGCTAGGGGAGGAGCGAGCCTTTCATTAGTTATTACTATCGGCGTTCTCTTCCCTTGCATTTCCATGTAAAGCCCGAGTAGCCCCCTTAAAAGAACCCCAATTTTTCAATGACGGCGTCGCGGGGCTGCGCGCTCCGTTCACCTTGCAGAGCTGAAAGTGCTCGGACTGGAGCGTTTCCTGGATCTCCGGCTCCCGGTTCCCAGGCGGATGCTGCTGCTGCTGCTGCTGCTGCTGTGACGCCGAGGACGAGCCGGCGGTCAGGCCATCCAACACCTTCCTGATGTTGAATTTCCTCATGGTCTCGGCGGGGCTCCCCCGCAGCCCGCGAGGCAAGGCAGAGGGGGTCCCCGGGCGGGGGAGACTAGCCGGGGCCGAGGACAGCTTCGACCGCGGAAACGGAGGAGTGGGAGTGTGAGGGCAAGGAGGCAGCTGAGGGGGAAGCAAAAGATAATCCGAACAGGAAATACTGCGACGGTAGGAGCGGCGGCTGCAAGAACCCCGGGCGGCGACCCCTCTTCCTCCGAGGCCGCCGCTGCTCGGCGCGGCTGCTGTGGCGCCGCTTCAGCCGCCGCCGCCGCCTCCTCGCTCCGCGGCCCGGCAGCAGCAGCAGCAGTGGCGGCGGCGCCCGAGCCCGCTCAGCCCAGCCTCACCTGGCCGCGGGCGGACTCTGCGCCGCGCCGCCACCCGGGCTCGCCCCCGCCGCCGCCACCGTCGCCGCCGCGTCCATGGCCCGCGGCCCCGCCGCTGCTCGCCCGCCCCGGCCCCGCAGTCCCTCGGCGGCGTCCTCTGGCTCCTTCTCCTCCTCCCGGGGGTCGCCGGTTCCCCGTCCGCGGCCGCCGCTCGGCCTCCCCGCCCGGCCTCGCACACAGGGTGCCTGGGGTGGGTCCCCGCGCTGCCCGCCTCGCTCCGTCTCGCTCCTCCGCCGCTGGACCGGCCCGCCCTCGCCGCTCCCGAGCCCGGCTGCCTTCCTCAGGCGCCGCCGCGGCCGCCGGCTCTCCCCGCCCAGCCGCTCCCCCTCGCCTGACAGGGCGCCTCGGCACACGGCACCAACGCCCGCCCCGAGCAGCGGCGGCAGCCGCGGTTACAGCGCGGGCCGCGGCGGTGGCGGCAGCTGGGCCTCCGCGGAGCCGGGCTGCGGGACCTGCGCATGCGCACCGCAGCCCCGTTCTCCCACCCTGGCCCCGCAGGCCCCCAGCCCCCCAGCCGGAGCGAAGCTGGGACTTAAATTATCTCCTGCGAAAATCCCAGACGCTGGCTAAATTTCTCCCACCCTAGTCGTGTTGCCAGAGTATGCAGCTGCTTCTCTTGCAGCTGGCATAGTAAAAACGTTGACGACTAACAAGCAGCAGGAAACATTTCTTTCCAATCCGGTCATTACAGCCGGGAGTTGATGCTTTCCCCCGTTAATGGGGTGCAAGCTCCCGGCCGCTGGCTGCAGTATTATTCTTCTTAACTTTATTGACAGGCTTTGTTTTTGTTTGATTGGATTTGAGTTTTGGAAAAGAGCGTCTAGACAACGATTATGTCAGTGGCAGGAGGATGATGGTCTTGGATAATAGAAAAGAAAAGAAAACTAGACGGGGGGAAAAAATGGGTTCTTTACTGCAGCTGTGACTTGGTGGAACGCGTCTGGCCTTAGCGGGTAGCTACTGGGATGGAAGAGGCTGCCAGCGGGCAGCGGCTCCAGGGCCGATGTCTGCCCAGGCCGATGACACCGCCCCGCACCCAGCCGCTCGCCTGGGAGGAGCACGGGTGGCAGGAAGCGCCGGGCTGCCACTCTTTCAGAACCTTCAATCCGCCCTGACGCTGATTAGCCACTCAGTAATCCCCTGGGAGCTTCACTCTTGAACAGGGAAAGGGGGTAGGATGAAGTTTTTGCTCAGATCTTTCCGCTGCCGCAACTGCCCATGTCGCGTGGATGCTTGGAGACAAATACCTGGCTCAAGTTGAAAAAGACATATTCCTGCCGGGGAAACCTCCCGGACAGGAACCGGACAGGTGGACGAAAGCACAGGTACTTGATTAGGAAGGATGTGGAAATAGGAAAGTAGTAAACAAGGAGGCAAGTGCAGGAAAACTGATCCTAATTCGAGGAGAAAGGGTCAAGCTCCAGGCACGACGGACTCCTGGAGCTCTCGAGTCTGCGGAAAAGCCACGGAAGCCCTACGAAGGGTGTCTTTTAGTTCGGAACCTGTCAGAAGCACCCGCCCTCTTCTTTGTGATTGGCCATTCCCCGCCCCTAGCGAAATCTTCGTCACTCTATTGGTTGATGTGAGCAGCCTTCAAGAGCAGTCAGCGAACCAGCTACGATTGGGCCCAGGGATTTCGGGAAATGTAGTTCACTGTGCAGCTTCCGCATCCCCGGACAATGCCTTACGTTTGGAACCCACAAAATTTTGATTTGTCTTTTAATTTTATTGAGTTAATTAATTCACTGGGTGCAATGAGCAATATAACAAATTTGAGGACATTCTTAAACTATTTCCAAGTGGCTTTGAATTTTGTATTTAGTTCTCTAGCATTTTGTTGAGTGTGAGACGGTGTGCTAGGTACTAAAAAGACACGAAAATGCAATTCTTGCTTTGAGCAAGCTCACTACAGTCTAACGGAGATGACTTTTAACATCACTAGTAATTGTAAAACGATGTGATGAGTCCAATGATGGAATAATACAGGAGGACGGCAGAGGGCCACTTAACTGGCCAGGAAGGCTTGAACATGGTGACGCCCACCATAGATCATGCCAGATAAGGAGGAGCAGACCATTGGAAGACAATGGGGAGGAGAGTCTCAGAATTACCCTGAGGCTTTTTAAAAATGCATGTGCCTCCACAGGGGGAAATTGCAAATCAGACATATCACAACCCCATAGAATTGTATGATCTGCCTTTTTACTTACCTAGGTATAAAATAAATCTATTGGATAATTTTTCATCATTGGATTATAAAACTTTCTGGAAAAAAAGACCACTTCTTGTTGAGAGACCTTGTGGTGAAGTGGGAAAATATAGGCTTTGTTTTCAGCCAACCATGAACTTCAGTCAGGGCCATGGTAATATGTGTAATCTTGGACAAATTTTTAAATTTTTCTAGGGGTCAGATTCCTCAGGTGTAAAACGAGATTCATACCACCTTCTTAGAAATTTATGAGAATGAACTGGAGGAGGAAAAGAAAGAATATGAAAAATTTGTACTACATTGCTTAGTACTCTGTAGACACTCAAAAATATCAGTTTCCTGTTCTACTATCAGGGTTCTTCAGGTAAAGGGCACTTTAAAAAGTCACCAGTTTAAGCCAATTTTCTATTTCTGACTGTAGAATTTTTGTTTTTATTTCTATACTCTATCTTTTCTATTAGGTTATGATCTCATTCTGACACTCTCAAAATTTCGGGTCTTAGAGGATACCTGGAATTTAAGATGAATGTAGCTTATCTTTGTGAAATTGCAGTCCATCCTCTCCATGCTCAGAACTGGGACTTATCCAGAAATCCATATGACCAAAACCAACAATGGCTCAAAGTAGCAATCTTTATCACAGCAAAGATAAAATAATGGATCCTCAAACTCACGGTAATTCTTATGTCAATTTCAATGAATCAATTCATTTTACAAATTAGAACTGAAAATTTAAGAATTTTATTAGAAATGAATTAAACATTTTAAGTTTAGAATTAAATAAATTAAAAATAAATAATCTATATCATTCATTTTTAAATTAAGTGCAAAACAGAATTTTAATCATCATAATTTCTCAGCAAAGTTGTGTTTGTTTATTTTAATGAATAAGTAGGTTGATTTTAAGCAATTCAATAGCTTCTGCCTCTAGGTGACATTCTCCTGAATGAAATTATTTCTTACCTGCTTATTGGAAAATGGATCATGATGTGATGACATAATAGTAGACCACGGACAAATTATAAATATATGTATTACATTTAGCTGAGTCAAGGTGGCACTAAACAATATTCTGCCAATGCAATGAAAATAAAAAACGTTTTTAAAAAATGAAACCACACATATACAAAAAGAACAGTAGCCTATGAAATTGACAGGCGCAGAAGACTAAAAACCAAGAATTCATAACATTTCTGAATCTGTCAGTCCTCATTATCCAGTTTAAAGGTTACCAGACTAATGCAGGTCTGGGTACTTTATTGCAAAGGCAAGCTGGATGCTGACTGAGATGGAGAGGGTGGAAACTGAAAATAAACATTTTAATGAGAAATTATTAATTAGCAAAAGCTTTCTGGAAGGTCTACATCACTTGCTAGCATTCATTTTTACTGACTTAATTTCAGTTTATTGAGTCCTGAAGGATGTGTGCATGACAATAATTAATTCACTACATCGTTTAACAGAATATTGAATTTAGATTATTTGTAAATTGCAGCAGAGATGTTAATTAGTTGGTTTGCCTAGTTCAAGCCACCTTTTCTGAATGGGTTCCCTAGCCCTTGCTAAATGATAGGCCTGGGCAACTCCGTTTTAATCAGGTGCCCCTGTTTCCTACCAATAGGATCTGAGGCAGAAACCAGAAATAACTCAAGCCAAGTGATGATCTTCTGGGAATTCGGAATTGGATTACAAAATTGCAAGTTAGTCTGAACGAGGAGGAAGCCAGGTTGTCCTAGTGCTGGTATTGTGTTTTATTTCCTACACACCGAACCTGAGAGTACTCATTCTTAGAAAGAATGTGGGAGAATGGAACAGACACAGAAATGACAGAGTAGTGACCACCAGTGACCCAAGGAGGTGGAGAGTAGAATCTCGATTTCTGACTTTTCTGTTCCCGGTTCTTATTCCTTATGGAAACTGGAGACTTTCTTTCCTTTTCTGTTTTAATTAGCTTGATTATATTTCTGGCTTTTGCAATCAAATATTCTGATAGTGTAGTTACAATTAGATGCAAGGTTATAATTAAACTATAGGCAAAAATGTCTAGACAAAGGTCAGTAAGCCTGAGTGAAAAGAAAATTCCAGAAGTGCAAAACAAAACTAATAAAACCAAATGTACGATTAAATGTAATTTATTAGGCATTAATATATAACCAGAGTGAAAAATAACATCAAATCTAAAAGCCTAGAACCTGATCAGGCAATTAGGAATTGCCTGATACATCCTCATATATTTAAAGTGCTATTTCTACAATGGGAACAGTATTTCTAAAATGGGAACAGTATTTGAAGTAAGAAATAATGTTCCCACTGTTCTAATTTTAATATTTTAGGATTTGAATATTGTTGTAAACACATTGAACATTTTGCTAAACATTTCCCAAAGGGTTCACTTTTCTTTTCAAATAACTCGTTAAAATGTGATTTGTGGACTGAAAAGCTAGCAATAAAGCTTGTTCCTTATGCAGTTACTCACAGCTAATATACCGTGGTAATGGAATGAGCTTGAAACAGCAGTATAAGTTATATTTTGTTCCATCATATATACACAAAAGAGACAGTAACTTTGAGACGGACTTTCACTTTTGTTACCCAGGCTGGAGTTCAATGGCGCGATCTCGGCTGACTGCAACCTCCGCCTCCTGGGTTCAGGCAATTCTCCTGCCTCAGCCTCCTGAGTAGCTGAGATTACAGGCACGTTTTGTAGTTTTAGTAGAGACGGGGTTTCACCATGTTGAC